CTTTATATGATGTCCATTTGACATTATATATTATGTGCAAATGACTTATATGATGTGTGCATGTCTTTATATTATGTGCATGCTGCTTTACGTGATGCGTATTATATTGTGTGCAAACGTCTTCATATGATGTGGTCTTGTCATTACATTAATGGAATTCAGGTCGGACTCGGAGTCTCATATGCCACTAAATGGGTTCGAACTCATAATCCTCATGTTGCCAGGGTACCACTTCAGTACTCTTGGCTATATAATATGGCGACAAGAACTACTTAGACCACTCGGCCACTGAAGTCCCTTAACCATCATTGAAGATTGGATATGTTAAAACTTTTTGTCTCGTTTTCGACGAAAGTCGCGGAAGGCGAGACATATGTGTTTCTTTTTCTGCTAAAGTTAGTCTGATAGGAACTACTTGGGATAGATCAATGATATTTCCTATAAAGTGGAATTACTATCAGTACATCTCAGTTATTTGACCATTTCGAGGCCCTGTTCTCTAGGTCATTGGTCTAGCAACTTTGAATTAATTAGCAATGTTGCTGTCCATCAGATTGTCTTATTCTGAATTTTCTGTCGACAGGCGGGACATATATCTGTGTCGATAGTTTCTTCAAAAATAGTTCGGTAGTCTTACTGTCATTGTTTTAGACTTATCTTATTTAGGTAAATGCAACATAAGCAATTATTAATTGAGTTGCTCCGGTTATAAGCGTTCCGAAGTTCATAGTTGTGTTTTGATTTTCTTTGAATTTATATAGTAACTTATATAATTAAGAAACACATGTCTATTTGTAGCTACTTTTTTTTTTAAAATTCTATATGTAAACATAAAATGTTTTCGTAACTTTTCACTTTTACTATACTGGAATATTCATTTCAAACAATGGGGGAAATATCCAAATATGTATGATTATGTATACCTTCTTTCACATCACTACATGGTTATCAGCAGTTGCATGCATTTCATAGTTATCATATGAGTATTAGAGATGTCATTTTGTGAGAAAGAAAGATAGATTTAGGAATTTCATTTTTGAATCTTCAAGATAAAAGTGAATATATTAAAAGATCGACTATGCATTGGTATTCTGATTTTGTCAGTTTTTTGTAGAAATAATGTATATATCACACAGAATATTTTTGATGTAATAACATTTGATTTTTGTGTATTTGATAGAAATTCTATTCATTAGAAAATCTGTAACTATTGCACACTAGGTATCTCTTTTCATACGAAAAAAGAGGATTAGACTGAAGTGGTAACTATATTGTCTCCAAGAAATTACTAGTCATGTAATCAGTACAGAACTTTAGTGAATAAAAATTAGTATAACGAAATCAGAGATATATATTTTAATTAGATTGTACTCAAATATCCATAATATTTATAATTATGAATATGAATATGCATTTATACATAATATTTGTAATACATTTAATTCATAAATTTAATTATCTTTTTAAATATTTTTTTTTTTATTCATTTGGTTATATATCATATATTTATTTATTGTCGTCATGTTTTCATTATTTGAGTTTTTAAACCGGCTTACAACATTATCAGTGTTAGTATAAGATATCCGGAAAGATGTGATTTACAGTTAGATTAAAAAGGATAACACGACACAATAACCGGGTTGTAAATTAACTTTAGAAGGATATATTTTTCTTTGTTAACGAATATGTTGAGTAAATAAGATAAATGTTACTGTCTTAGCATTTCTATTGTCCATCAAGCATAATTTCCACAATAATTACGGGATGAAATTTTTTTTTTGCTCTATCTCAAAAAGATTTTTTCCAGTGTAGTGTACTACTATTGGGACAAATAATATCAAAATTATAGAAAAGTCTACCAACTCTAACTCAAAATATTGACAATTCTATGTTAAGGGTTTCTAAAATTCAGTTTGACAGCTTCAGACATACTAGTTTTTGACCTTTTTGAACTGGACCAAATCACTACTTAACATAAAGATTTAGCACCCAAATTTGTTTAAACATGCAATTTCATCCCTTTACTTAATATGTCATGCATAAAATATAAAGAAATAAATTTGGAAAGTGTATGAAAAAAAATTTGCAAGTTATATACTGTCCACACTAGGGACTATATTTGTACGATAACTGTGTTCTCGGACCTAATAGCAGATCATTGATAATTTCTGTTTTGATTTATTCACAACTTTTTTAGACTCGATCGGTGCTAAATTGATATTGTCACATAAATGTATAGAAAGTTTCAAAACGATCTATTATTGAAGACTGACTGTTGCCCTTGGTATTGTTTGTTGGGGTCTGTCTCATTGACTTTTATACCACATCACCTTTTACTCTCATACATGAAGTTTGCTACAATTCAACATGAAGGATGATGCATTATTTGAAACACAAGTTATCTTTATTATAGAAACACTGTCAATGAGGGTCTAGATGATTTTTTTTTTTTTGGGGGGGGGGGAGGGGTGTCTTTATTTCTGTATTCTTTAATGTTTAAGGCCACTTTTCTCTGTTATATTTTTTTACCCATCCATACCCTCAACTCTATGACACAGATTTGTTTTAATGAAGTAGAACGATTGTTATTCGGTGCACCTTGTACATATAAGACGCAAGCAACTAAAAAAAGCTTGTATGCATGTACAAGCTATTTTGGTTTTATAAGTGTTGTGGCGTTTAATTTAACACGATGGCATTATTTTGTAGTGTATATTTTCAGTTTGGAATTGGTATTAAAAACTTGAGTTAAACGATATGCATGGTTCATACTCTGATTTTGTTACTTTCGTTTAATTTTGCTTTATTCCACTTTGCTTGACCTTTTAGAGGAACATTTTTATCCAAAATTCAAGCAGGAAATTTTGGTCATTTGCGGTAGATATTTTTTGTTATGGTAAAGTATAAAATTGGTGAAAAATAAAGCAGTTTAACACATATCAAAAGTGGTCTGGCGACTACTTTTTTGTGTGAAAAAATTATTCCGATAGATAATTGTATTTCCTTTTACTGGGTGTAGGTTTTGGCTAGTTTTGGACTGATGGAGCTTACTTAAAGGAGAGAGAGCATATGTTAAAAGTATCAACAAATTTGAGAATTCGACTTTAAAATAATCTCGTTAAACAAATTTCAAAGATTAAAACTATTTGATAATCCTATGATTAAGTAGACCTAATGAATTTCCATTTTTATCATGCAAAATTACTAAATAAGATTTATTCCATATCTTTAGAAATTTACTTTGAATGTTTTTTTACGATAAAATTATTGTCTATTTTTTTGGGGGATGACGCGAAGTCATCAAATAGTGTACTATCTACACAGCAGTATTTTACATCCCCTTTTTTTAACATATAGTTTTTATACGCCCGTTTACGGGACGTAATATGGTTTATCCCCGGCTTAGTATATTTCTAGGAGTTTGATTGGTTAACGCACGTCGTTACAAAACCCATAGCCCCTGGGTGTTGCTAACCCATGTCCCCGGACGTTGCTACCCATTACATCGGGGAATTTCACGCGCGTATTCCTTAGTTCCATGGTTGTTCTTTATGAAATATCGAATTCTGTAGATTTTCCATGATGTCTGTATAATTAAATACGTAATCCACTAACGATTTTATCTAATTATATCGATTATTTGCACTCATTTTAGTAAATGCATCACTATGCAGCCACATTGTCAATGAATGGTACTACTGACCTAGCTATGCAAATGACCCACGTTGACGTCACACCGTTTATGATGTAACTCTCACAACATTGCGCGCCAAATTCGACCCATTTCAGTTTCTCTGTCTTTAGTTTAAAAACTTCTTATATTTGTCTACATGTAGGGTTCTACCAAAGGTAGTACCCTACACCCCGTTAAAAATATGTCAAATTCCCAAATTTCAATAAAAGATATTTAAAAAATGAAAAAAACGTTGCTTTCACGTTAAACTTTGTGGTCGAATTTCTCTAAAAATCGCCAGATTTAGACTAAGACCGGGGATAAATTCGTTATCTACGTTCATATCCGTAGATATGGATACTTTAACACCCTTCAGTACAATATACACCCTTCGGCTGCGCCTCAGGGTGTATTTGGATACTTCAGGGTGTTAAAATATCCATATCTACGGATATGAACGTAGATAACTTATAATACCGTTGTCCATCCGTCCGTCCATCTGTCTGTCTGTCCGTCCGTCCGTCGTCAACATGTCGGACAATAACTCAAAAACGCTGTAACGAATTTGCATGAAACTTTGGTGAATTGTTTATATCTATTGACGTGAGCTCCCTTTCGTTTTTTATAAATTTTAGACTTTACGTTTCCGAGTTATGGGATTTTATTCATTAAAAAAGGGGGATTTTCCAGTTTTCGGAAAATAACTCAAAAACACTTTCACCAATTTGCATGAAACTTTGGTTAATTGTTTATATCTATTGACATGAGCTCCCTTTTTTTTTTTTATAAATTTTCAACTTTACGTTTCCGAGTTAAGGGGTTTTATTCATTAATTTTTTTCCAGTTTTCGGACAATATTTGTAGCAGTTTTCATTAAACTTTGGTAACTGGTTTATATCTATTAAGATAATCTCCCTTTAATTTTTCATAAATTTCTGATATGACATTGAGAAGTTATTGAACTTAATTCTTTGAAAAAGCGACGGGCGTATCATGCGCTCATGGCGCAGCTGTTTATTTACTTTTTATTTGTTTTCTTCAAAGTACATATTTGCCTGTTTAATCTTTCCTGATAAAAAAAAAGACTTGTAGATAATATTAATGTCAAAAGTTTGGTATAATATAACCATAGATATAATGGCTAGCCTATTATATCTATGATATAACCAAACAGTGAGTAAATTAATCAGTTAAGTTATCAGATTAATGATCAGGTTGGGCTATCATACTTTTTTTTTATTGAAATGTTACCATAAATATGATTGGTTTAGTTTCCGCCCTTATGACAAATGGAAAGCCCTGTTTAAAGAACTTATATGATTGGTTTAAATTCTCCATAAAAACAAAGTGATGTCGATAACCGGTCTCTTTCTTAAAACGTGGTCGGTGTAAACGAACGTGTGTCAATTTAACAAACACAATCAACATGACAGCTAAACCTCCATACAAAGTTGGTAAGTATATACCTAAAAGATAAAATAAACCATTGTAACTGAAAAATATTTGCCACTTTAATAATTTTAATTTCCTCTGATCAAAGATCAAGCAAAGTGATGCTATTTTCCAGTGATGCAGGCTAGCTGTCCTAGATAATGAACCCTGTTTTTTTTTTTAATATTTTTTTTTTATGTTGCTGGACCTTGGTGAATATAAGGGTATAAGGGGAGACACTAAAGGGACAATAAATGTAGACAATCAAATATGGTTAACTTTTCCACATTATAATCATTAAGTTTTTATTTGACTGCAGTGGAGGTGGTTATATAGGACTGAAGATATGTAAATTGATACTAATGTATATTTCAAGCTTACACATTTTTCAATTAAAATTTTATCTCTAGGTTTAAAGTAGAATGATAGTGACACAGTTTGTCGCACAAATATCTATTCTTATATGATCTTGTATGCATGTTAACAGGTTGTAAGAGCACCTGCTAGATCTTTTGATGCAGATGTCAATTTTTTCGGATACTGTGTCCTTGGGGTATACCCCACATCTTTTATTTATATATATATAGTTTGTGTCCATTTTTGGTTTTGTCAAAGATTGTGAATTAATATTTATACTAATAGTAAAAATGTGGGATTTCCCTCAGTCAAAATCTCTGAAATAGATAGTCTTGCTTGCTAAATGTCCAGTTGCAAATATTTCACTTAGATGATGAAATTGATTAAATTTTTTATATATCATAGTGTAATTGAAAGTTTGTTCAGTGAAACATGAAAGCTTTGTTTTCTACCTATCACATTACTAATAATTTGCACTATAACTCAATTTAAAAAGGTAACATGATATCAGTAAAACCAGCATGATTAGGGGATTCAAAGACAATGGGAGTAGGTACACTCGTATGTGGAAAGTTCAGAAATCATGTTATGAACATTAAAATGAAACTATTCAAACTAAAGTAAATAATGAAATGGCTTGGCAACTGGTAGAAGTGACCTTTACACCCCACCCCACCCTACCAATTTGCTAGAAGTGTTTCAGAAAAAATATAAAACAATAAAATTCCCACTGCCACACTTTTTAAAAAATTTACCAGACTATGATTTTTTATACGCCCGTTTACGGGACGTATTATGGTATACTGTTGTCTGTCTGTCCGTCCGTCGTCAACATGTCGGACATTAACTCAAAAATGCTTAAACCAATTTGCATAAAACTTTGGTGAATTGTTTATATCTATTGACGTGAGCTCCCTTTCGTTTTTTATAAATTTTAGATTTTATGTTTCAGAGTTATGGGGTTTTATTCATTAAAAAAAGGGGGATTTTCCAATTTTCGGACAATAACTCAAGAATACTTTCACCAACTTGCAAAAAAATTGTGGTGAATTGTTTATATCTATTGACATGAGCTCCCTTTCGATTTTTATAAATTTTAGATTTTACGTTTCCAAGTTGCAGGGTTTTATTAAAAAAAAGGGGGATTTTCCAGTTTTCGGACAAATACTCAAAAATGCTTTCAGCAGTTCTTATGAAACTTTGGTGAATTGTTTATATCTATTGATGTAAGCTCCCTTTAGAATTTTATAAATTTTACATTTTACATTTCTGAGTTATGGGGTTTTATTCATGAAAAAAGGGGGATTTTCCAGTTTTCTGACAATAACTCAAAAATGCTGTCAGCAATTCCCATGAAACTTTGGTGAATTGTTTATATTTATTGATGTAAGCTCCTTTTGATTTTCATAATTTTCTAATATGACATTGAGAATTAATTGAACTTTATTTGTTTATAGTCTGACAACAGATTTACTAAGTATTGCGCAACAGCACAGTGTATTGCACAACAGCAAGAAATCTTTAATTGAATATAAATTCAATTCATATAACCAATTTCAAGTTCTTTGACTACATTTATTCAGAAACCTGTAATATGTCAAATATTTAATTACAATCCAAATTCAGACCTGTATCAAGTTTGAATATTGTGTCCATTTTTGCCCCAACTGTTCAGGGTTGGACCTCTGCGGGCGTATCCAGCTGCGCTCAGCGAAGCAGTTTATTTTAAATGGCCTTATTTTGAAAAGATTTTAGATTCTTCAAAAAAGACTAGTTTAAATGGGTTATTCCTGGTAAATTGTTTTGACTTGAATAAGAGTTGTTTTTAAAAATCAAATGGCTGGAAAAGTCAGTAGTAAATTTTACTAACATTACTTGAATATTCATTGAAACATAATCAATAATTTTGTAGCTGACATTGGTTTGGCTGATTGGGGCAGAAAATGCATTGAAATTGCTGAAAATGAAATGCCTGGTCTCATGCAGATGAGAAAGATGTATGGAGAATCAAAACCTTTGAAAGGGGCACGTATTACAGGATGTTTACACATGACCACTCAAACAGCTGTACTGATCGAGACCCTCACAGCACTAGGGGCTCAGGTCCAGTGGAGCAGTTGTAACATTTTCTCCACACAAGATTTTGCAGCAGCAGCCATTGCCAAAACAGGTGTCCCTGTTTATGCTTGGAAAGGAGAAACTGATGAAGAATACATCTGGTGCATTGAACAGGTATTAGTCATTTTATTTTGTAAGACTATATAACTTTGATTATTATTAGTTATGTAAAAAAATAATTTTGGCATGCCGTTTAATAAGAATAATAGTATTTTGTGTTGTGAATCTAAGTATTAAATACATGATTTACTTTGTTATTGTTTGTACATATAGCATCTAGCTGCGGCTACCCAGTGATGACTTCTAACATCTTGCATTAATGTCTTTATCACACGTAATCCGCAACTCCATGAAACACCTTGACAAAAATCAACCAGACTTGCACAATTTCTTCTATATGACATGAAGTAGTGTATCTGCTATTTGTATTTTTGATCTGTGGAGTATCCCATACCAAACTGGCGTCTTCTGCTTATATTAAGTTAATGGGTAGTTAATCTGCAAATCCTAAAATAGTGACTTGACAAGGTTCACCCAATCTTGCAAAGATTCTTCTGTATAAAGGGCATAAAGTTATGCACTTGTGTTTCAACTTCTTAGCACATCATTACCAGTAAATATTTTGTTTAGCAAAGATATGAAACTGCTCTACCAATGTTTTTTAGGTCATTAAGCTAAAGGGTAATCATTGTAAAAACCCTCGTCAAATGTTTACATTTTTGTACATTCAGTATTTGTATTTTGTAGACATTAGTCTTCCAAGATGGACAGCCATTAAACTTGATATTAGATGATGGTGGAGATTTAACAAACTTGGTCCATGAACGCTTTCCACAGTACTTGCCAGGTAATGTATAAATGGAACAGCTTCAGGACTATATTATCTTTCTCTTGTCTCATACAGGGGTGGAAATAAGAGGTCTCCTCTGAATATGGCCAGTGAATTTCATTTATATAAAAATATACACTATTCAAACAGTATATAAAATGTACACTATTCAAACAGCGAGTTAATTTCAATGAGGACAAGTCAGTAAGAGAAGAAAATTGCACTCTTTGTCAGTTTGGAAAGAAAATTGCACTCTTGGTCAGTTTGGATATTATTTCTTATCTGTACCTATGAAAGTCACTTCTCTACTACCATTTTTAAAATGGTGAGAGTTATTTCTCTTTGACTATGGGACTGAGTCTTTATTTTGCCACTGTCTAGTATTTTAGAATTAAAAATGTTAAGTAAAAAATGCTACAAGTTGTTCAGTAAGTTATTGGTAAAATGTTTTTTTTATTATTTTTTGTCGAGCCTTCGACTTTAGTCGAAAAAGCGAGACATAGCGATCCTACATTCCGTCGGCGTCGGCGGCGGCGTCCACAAATATTCACTCTGTGGTTAAAGTTTTTGAAATTTTAATAACTTTCTTAAATTATCCTGGATTTCTACCAAACTTGGACAGAAGCTTGTTTATGATCATAAGATAGTATCCAGAAATAAATTTTGTAAAAATAAAATTCCATTTTTTCCGTTTTTTACTTATAAATGGACTTAGTTTTTCTGCCGGGAAATATTACATTCACTCTGTGGTTAAAGTTTTTAAAATTTTAATAACTTTCTTAAACTATCCTGGGTTTGTACCAAACTTGGACAGAAGCTTTTTTATGATCATAAGATAGTATCCAGAAGTAAATTTTGTAAAAAATTAAATCCATTTTTTCCTTATTTTACTTTTAAATAGACTTAGATTTTCTGCCAGGAAACAACACATTCACTCTGTGGTTAAAGTTTTTAAAATTTTAATAACTTTCTTAAACTATCCTGGATTTGTACCAAACTTGGACAGAAGCTTGTTTATGATCAAAAGCTAGTATCTAGAAGGAAATTTTGTAAAAAAATAAATCCATTTTTTCCGTATTTTACTTTTAAATGGACTTAGATTTTCTGCCAGGAAACAACACATTCACTCTGTGGTTAAAGTTTTTAAAATTTTAATAACTTTCTTATACTATTTTGGATTTGTACCAAACTTGGACAGAAGCTTGTTTATGATCAAATGCTAATATCTAGAAGGAAATGTTGTTTTCTTCCAGTTAACATTACATTCAGTCTGCAGTTAATTTAGTTATTAAACATTTATTAGATTCATAAACTATCCTGGATTTTTACCAAACTTGGACAGAAGCTTCTTACAATAAAAAGATAGTATCAAGAGGAATATTTTTATTGATTTACTTCCTCATTTTTGTTGAGCCTGTGATTAACAGAAAAAGTAGGCGAGACACTGGGTTCCGCGGAACCCTTACGAATTTTTTTTGAATTTTGAAGGAATTGCTGGTTTATCAGAGGAAACAACAACAGGTGTACATAACTTACACAAGATGTTGAGAGAAGGAAAATTGAAGATGCCAGCTATTAATGTCAATGACTCAGTAACAAAGGTATTGAACCATAACTGTCAGCAGAGAAGGAGATTCTATAAGATAGCTATTACATATGTAGCTAAATTTATAAAAAAAAAAAGTAGATATTAAGACTTTGGTCTAGTACCAGTTTATTATACCATCTGATTTAGTTTTCTCAAGAAAGTATGTTGGAAATATTATTTTAACACTTGAAGGTTAGGTTTAGAATCCTGGATAAGGTTTTGAAATATTCCTATTTTTCAACAAAATGCAAGTAATTACTTTCATTCTTCATGCTACATTTAGAACCATGTGATTGTTGTGAAATTTTGATATAGTGTCATTTCTTCTTGGTACATGAAGCTGAGACAAAATAAGATCCTACAGAATAGGGACAACAGTTTGATGTCAGGCTGCTTTCCCCATGTTTTCTCTTTGCTATAGTTAAAAAAACAAATTGGACAAGTAATTGAATTATAAAATGCTTGGAGGGAAGCAGATATATTTACAGATAACAAAAATTCCTCTGTTTTCTTAAACACCTTGAAATAAATTTTCTTTTTCCAGAGTAAATTTGATAATTTATATGGGTGTAGAGAGTCATTAGTTGATGGAATCAAAAGAGCAACAGATGTCATGTTAGCTGGTAAAGTAGCCATGGTAGCAGGATATGGAGATGTAGGAAAAGGTTGTGCACATGCTCTCAGAGCCTTTGGTTGTCGTGTCATGATTGTAGAAATTGATCCAATCACTGCTCTGCAAGCAGCTATGGAAGGTATTTATCAAAAGTTTTGTATCACAGAAAACCTATCAAACTGAACAAATATTCATGGACATTTTTTTTTGGGGGGGGGGATCTACATATGGCATTTCTGTTTTAAGAAATATGATTATAAACATTGCTTCTATATAATGAGGTACCGTAGAAAGGCTTGTATAGTCCGCGGTTTTATTCTCCAAAATTAGACCTTCCAGACGGGGTGCGGACTATAGAGTACAATAAACAAGAAATAAGAGAAAAATTTCAATTTCGCGGGCGAGGTGGTTTGTTTACGTTCCACCATCTTTGTTATTTATATTGTAGAGGGCGCTCTTATCATTTTTCAAACTAATAATTTTAACTCATCCATATTAATAAGTTATTTCTATTCAATATCAAATTAATAGTAAAACTAAACCTTTCATTACAAATTTCTCGTTTCTTTTCAATGCATTGGTTGAAATAAACTGGTATCTGCTTGATTGAAACGATACAAACATAGTGAAAAAGATAACCTTAAACCAGCTTAGAATTTGTAAACTACAAAACGTAATCGGTTATTGTTCGTTCCGTTTTGGTGTTTCATACTGACTAATATGGTTTGTATTAGCTTAAGACCCTTCAAACATTAATGTGATAGATATATTAAAGACTGTTTTACAAAAGGATGGAACTGTTTTACTTTCAAAGTCGTATTATAGTGATATCTGTTATGTATGGATTTCGACTCTCACCGGTTAATTTCTTCTTTTACACGTGCTTTTTAAACTTCCTGTTTAAACATACACAAGTTTCTAAATTGTTTTTTAAGTGAATTAAACTTATTTTAACAATCATGAAGCGTTCTAGAATCATTAACAAGCAGTTTCAGCTTCTGTTTGATGATGGAAAACAGGGTTTTCCAAGAAAATACCGCAAACAACCGCACAGGATTTGAAATTACCGGAGTTTCATTAGACCTTTTCTAACAGTTACAAAAAGTTTTTTTACCTAAAATTTCGTGGGGAGAAGGGGGTGCGGACTATGTACCACTGCGAACTATGCAAGCCTTTCTACGGTATTTCAGACATTTTAAATCTAAAAAAAAAAAAACAGGTCTTTTTGTGCATAATGTAAAATGGAATAAGGGTAGATGTTTGATTACCATAATTAACATCCCTTGCCAGGGACCTGTAATCCAGTGTTGTCCATGGTTGCTGTTTGATAATTCTTGTTTTTATGCCCCAGCGTCACAGGAGGGGGCATTAAGTGTTACCCTTGTACGTACATCCCAAAATTGGTTTCTCAGACTTTCTTGTTATCTAACTTTAGTTTTTCACAACCAAATGTTATGAAACTTATACACAATGCTTATTACCACAACACAAAGATCATGTTATAATTTGGGTGGCCTAACTTTTACTGTTCTAGAGTTGCCCCTTTACAAATTACAAATGGTAAAATTCTGAATTTTTTGTTCCTGATCTTTAGCTTAAGTTTGCCTCAACCAAATGTTATGAAACTTATACACTCATTACCTCAAAACACAGATCAAGTTCGGATTTGGGTGGTGTCACTTATACCGCTCTTGAGTTATGTCCCTTTATAATGTTAAATGCAAGCAGATACAGGGAAACATCTCCATTTATTTTTTTTGTAGTTGTTTGCATCCTTTTTCTTTTGACAATTGTCTGATTGCATCTGGCAATCACAAAACATCTTTTTCTTTATTCCAGACAGCCTCTATTACGGTCCTACCTATTGTATTTATTGTTAATTTGTTCTTGTCCTGAACATGCATGAAATATTTGCCACTGGACATTAACAACCAAACCATCAATCAATCAATCACTACATCTCCCCATGTTTACATTCACAAGAATTTAAAAAAAGAATAGATATTTTATATTGTAATAGAAATAGTTGACATAATATTTTAACCATCCACACATTTTTCAGGTTTTGAAGTTACAACAGTAGAGGAATGTATACCAAAATGTAGAATATTTGTAACAGCAACAGGATGTGCATCTATTATCCATGGTAACATGTTTGAACAGATGTTAGAAGATTCTATAGTGTGCAATATTGGACATTTTGATTGTGAATTAGAGGTTAAATGGATAAATGAGAACTGTGCTAAGAAAGAACAAATCAAACCACAGGTAGGTTTTCTTTTTACCTGTGTCGCTGAAAGTGGAAGCAGGTCTAGTTACCGCTCGACTCTCCCTTCGTCAGAAAAAAACTCTCATCAAAGTTTTCTTGGCTTATGAAAGGGATTGATTTGATATTTGGTCTGTCACTTTATAATGTTGAACAGCGAGTAAGCAATTTTTACATCTGCCATGTATCCACTACCTGTTTGCCGATTGAAATTTGAAATTTACCACTCATTGTACACTGAAAATTTTCGTCAGTTTTCTCCGCTCCTTTTGAAGGGAATGATTTAACATTTGGTATACAGATTAATTATGTTTAGTTGTAGCCATTTAGCAATTTTCACATCTACATTGTATTATCTTTTTGTTTGCTGATAGTTTGAAATTTTATAACACTCATTGTACAAGGAAAAGTTTGGTCAAGGTTTTCTTGGCATCAGTAAAAGGGAATGATCAGTTATGCTCCAGTATACATATTTCCTCAAACAATTGCATGCAGCGACACAGGTCCAGTCTTGGTTTTGGTCTTGTTACTTCTTGTATGATATTCAAAACATTGGTAAATCTCTTTTAGAAAACGTGTACATCCTAATGTTGAATAAACAAACACACAGTAAAACTCGGTTTAAAAGAAAAAGAAAGAAAATCTTGTTTTTATACGCCCGTTTACGGGACGTATTATGGTATACCTCTGTCCGTCCGTCTGTCTGTCCGTCCGTCGTCAACATGTCGGACATTAACTCAAAAACGCTTTAACCAATTTGCATAAAACTTTGGTGAATTGTTTATATCTATTGACCTGAGCTTCCTTTCGTTTTTTATAAATTTTAGATTTTACGTTTCTGAGTTATGGGGTTTTATTCATTAAAAAAAGGGGGATTTTCCAGTTTTCGGACAATAACTCAAGAATGCTTTTACTAACTTGCAAGAAATTGTGGTGAAATGTTTATATCTATTGACATGAGCTCCCTTTCGATTTGTATAAATTTAAGATTTTACGTTTCCGAGTTACAGGGTTTTATTCAGAAAAAAAGGGGGATTTTCCAGTTTTTGGACAAAAACTCAAAAATGCTTTCAGCAGTTCTTATGAAACTTTGGTGAATTGTTTATATCTATTGATGTAAGCTCCCTTTAGAATTTTATAAATTTTACATTTTACATTTCTGAGTTATGGGGTTTTATTCATTAAAAAAGGGGGGATTTTCCAATTTTCAGACAATAACTCAAAAATGCTGTCAGCAATTCTCATGAAACTTTGGTCAATTGTTTATATCTATTGATGTAAGCTCCCTTTTGATTTTCATAAATTTCTAATATGACATTGAGAATTAATTGAACTTTATTTGTTTATAGTCTGAAAACAGATTTACTAAGTATTGCGCAACAGCACAGTGAATTACACAACAGCAAGAAATCTTTAATTGAATATAAATTCAATTCATATAACCAATTTCAAGTTCTTTGATTACATTTATTCAGAAACCTGTAATATGTCAAATATTTAATTACAATCCAAATTCAGACCTGTATCAAGCTTGAATATTGTATCCATTTTTGCCCAAACTGTTCAGGGTTGGACCTCTGCGGGCGTATCAAGCTGCGCTCAGCGAAGCAGTTTATTTTTTTGGTCATCCAATTTCATATGACATTCAAATATTGCCCGAGTAATTGTAGACACATACTTATTAAAGTCTTAATTTTCAGGTTGATAGATACACAATGAAGAATGGTAGACATGTAATTCTGTTAGCTGAAGGTCGTTTGGTTAACCTTGGGTGTGCTCATGGACATCCAAGTTTTGTCATGAGTAATTCATTTACAAATCAAGTTCTTGCACAAATTGAACTGTGGACCAAAAAAGGACAACACAAGATTGGTGTTGAAGTATTGCCGAAGAAGGTAGGTTTTATACATGTTTATGCTTCAAAAACAAAATTATAATTACATATAATGGCTGCTTTGTCTTATAAGTTGATCCAAAAGCTGATGGTTTCTGGATTAATTATAAATATACATTATATTTCTGGCAGGATATTTAATAAGGGATAAAGATATATGATGTGCAAGTTAGATTTTCAGCATCTACTTCTCAGTTGTGCCACTGTTTTCATGGAAAACATGGAAGTTAGAGGCAATTATTGATGGACCAATATGTAAATTTCTTCTCCACAATTTTAAAGGACAGATCTTTCAAATTCTCTCAGAATGATGATTTGAAAGGCCAATGCAACTTTTGATCATTTTATGCTCGTGAAAAATACATGTCATTAATTACTCTTGGGTTACCTCTGCATGTTATGGGCAATCAAATGTCAGTCTTCATTTCTATAACTACCTGGTGAATCTGAACTAAAGTTGTTAGAAATATTGTATGAAAAGTCACTTAAAAGAAATAAAAGTTCTTGATTTGGTTTGTTCAGTCTTCAAACTTTTCTCCTCTTCTGATACTACAGATCTGATCTTTACAAATTTTAATTTAATGATGCTTGGGAGACCCATTACTGAGATTACTAACTTCATATTACATGTTACATACGTGGTGTAAATGATGCAACGCTGGTTTCAATGTTGTTGGAAATCATAATTTTCTTATAAATCTTTCTAATTAAAAGTTCAATTGAAACCCCATTGGAAATCAGTTTTAATTTCACTGAAATTACTTTGCCAGTCTGAACTAAACTTGGCAAGACTAGATAAAGCTGCATTGATTATAAAAGATTTTTTACAATTCAAACCTGTTAATATAAAAAATTAAACACACAAAAATGACTGGCTTGTATGTGTTTTGTATAAAAAATGATATTAAAGTGCATGATCAAGTTTTGGCAACAGGGATATGAATGATGTAGTATTTTTTTAATTATTGCTTCTACTAAAAATTATTTCAATTCATTAAGTAACTCCATTTATCTTTTTCAGTTGGACGAGGCTGTCGCTGCTGCTCATTTAGACCATCTTGGTGTCAAATTGACAAAGCTGACAGACGAACAATCTAAATATCTAGGTTTACCCAAAGATGGACCCTTCAAACCAGACATTTACAGATATTGAGAAATCCAACTACGATGGGGGAAATTTTTTTTACATGGGATTTTATATTATTGATGTGTCAATCAGTAGGTGGGGACAATAGTGATGAGCAGTTGAGATTTATATAGGAATAATACAACCATCAAGTATGATGGATCTTATGAAAGAACTTTCACCAACAGACAAATGGTTTTGTCTCAAATTGTTAATTTATTTGACCATTAAGTTTTGCCTTGTTAGATGTCAATTATTAATGTCCATCATCAAAAATCTGTATTCATTCCTGTAGAAAATTGCTGTTGTAGAGATTAAAAAAAAATGTATAAATTTGGAGTTATTTTCTCAATTAGTGCCAATTTTCATCTTTGACTTTATTTAAAGTACTGTAAAATGCAGAAATTTTTGTGTGCATTTGATATGTATGCTTTATGGACTTTCATTTGATATGATGCAAAAACCATACCATCTTAGAAGTTTTAGTTTTTGCATTTAATGACCCAAGCCTTCTCATTTGGATGGAAAATGGGGTTGAAAATATTCATCTCATGATTAATGAGATTGCCTAACAATGGACAAAAATATGAGATAAATTATTGCGATTTCAGAAAATGCTGCATACAAGTAATGCTATCAAAATTTAAAATGCAACTTATTTTTGCAACACATATCCAGTTGCAATTTTTCTCTATGATAAAAACATAGCCAAAAATTTGTGAATTTACTGCAGATATATTTGTCAGTATTCTGGTGTGTTTCTGTCATTTCATTGTATTTAGTTATATTTCATTGTTTTTGTCTTTAGAAGGTGTTTCTTTGAGTTGAATCATGGCAGCTATAAGATGTCCTCTAATATTTACCCAATTATTCTTTTCCTGACCTTGATTATTTTTATTTAATCAACATGTGGTCCATTTGGTCTCTGACATTTCTTCATTGGTCAAATTTCAATTATGACGAAGTTTTCTTCCGAATTTCCTATTGTAATGTCATGAAAAAAGCCAATACACGTGTATCGTCTAAAAATCACCAAAGAAACAAACTCTACCAGCATCTTCAAATTAACTGAAGGTAAATCCTTTGTAAAATCTGCTTTCACAATATGGCAACACATTAGTTGAAAATGGCATTATCTTTACCCTTAAAACACTGTCAAAATCATGACAAAATCACTACTAAATGCTCATCCATATGACAACATTACTTACCATGAAATTTAAAGGTATGATATCAACTTGTGCACAGCACTTGTCTGGAATTACAATCCAAGTCAAAATATAAGCACCAAAACCAAAATCATGCAATGTTACTGGGCTCAGGCTGAAAATTGACCTGAAGGGCAATTCATTTTAACCATGGGGGATGGTTACTGGCAGGACATCAGCATGGACTCCGTGGTAGTCCTGTATGATAAAGATTCAATCCTGCACAACACATGTTTCTAACTTGGGACTTTCCTTTTCATTATTAATTACCTTTGAAATTAGAGGACAAACATTCAGTATGTATATCCAGTGATACAAAGTAGAGGAAGCTTATTGTTTTAACCGGTCTATCAGTCAATTTGGTTTCATGGTGATAACTTGAGAACTTTTACTTTGGATTGAATATAGTCTCATTTAGCGGTAATTAGAGGACAATGCTTTGATCTTGAAAAAGAGTCAATTTGTTAAAGGTCGAGGTCACACATACTTAAAATAGACCCAAAGAAAATGGGTTTAAGGACTACAACTTCTGCATCTTTGTATGACACAAATTGGATTTATGGTCATATAGCTTGCTATACGTTATGGGTTTTGCTCTTTTGAAGGCCATACAATTAACTGTAGTTGTATATTGTATACATCTTGAGTCGTCACATTGGAAATCATACTCTATCGCCTTGTATGCTTGTAATTAGATGAAGATTCCTATTGATTATGAGGTCAGATCAGTAAAAGAATGGTTTTCAAGATGAATTTGGGGTCAATATGTTCAAGGTAAAGATCAAGCATACTGAAATTTTTTTTTAAAAGTAGAAAAGGTTTCCAGATTACACCCATGACCCTGAGACTACTATAACACAGTAGTCTCAGCATGACCCAACCTGCTTTTGGCATCAAATTTAAAGATCGGCGACTCTTTTCACAAAAAATCTTACGATTAAAATTGATCGTAAGTTATACTGAAATGTGTATGACTGACGAGTATTTTTACTCTTAAGATTTTTTGTGAAAAGAGCCGCTGGTCATATTAGAAGATGGGTAATCATTGCTTTTGAGGTCATTCATAATAAATGCAGATAGGGTGTTTCTGGAGGATGACCCAAAATGAATGATTTAATGAAGGGAAGATTTCTGTTGACTTGAAGACAATAAAAAATGAAAACAACAATAACCTGATGATCAAGGCCATGATTAAACTTTTATAGAAACGCAGCACTTGTCTGTAATAGCAATCATTCAAAACAAAGTATAAGCACTAAAACCAAAAGCATACAATGTTGCTTGGCTCAGGTTGATGCAATCCTAGTTTTAAGACAACTGAATAATTTATAACCTGAAAATTGACCTTAAGGGTCAGTCATTTTAATCATGGAGGATGATACTGACAGGACATCGGCATGTACCAAGTGGTAGTCACCCCTCGGTGGTCTTGTAGCGTGTTCGCCTAGAGTGCAGGAGGTTGTGGATTCAAACACCGGCCGGGTCAAACCAGACTTTAAAATTGGTATTTGCTGCTTCTCCACTAAGCACACAGCATTAAGGAGTAAGAACAAAGACTGGTTGGCTGGGAGACAGAATAATGTCTCTGGGTAAGATGACATGTCTTCCTGTGGACTGTTTCCTTGTGAACTAGCATGTTAAAAATTTGGTCTAGTACAAAGCAGGGTTAATATTCATATTTTAGATTAACATGTTCTCGTCCTGAATATGGATATTAATTTGCCGCTGGACATTAAGCAGCCATCCATCCATCCACCCAGTGGTAGTTCTGTATGATAAAGATTTAAGCCTGCACACAACACATGTTTCTAAATTGGGACCTTCCTTTTTATTACTATTTACCTTAGAAATTAGAGGACAAACATACAGTTCCGTATGTATATCTAGTGATACAAAGTAGAGGAAGCCTAATGTTTTAACCTGCATGTCTGTAAGACCATCAATCGGTCCTCAGACAATTTGGTTTCATGGTTATAACTTGAGAACTTTACTTTGGATTGAATATACTCTCATTTATCGGTAATGAATGTACAATGCTTTGATCTTGACGTTAATTTGTTGAAGGATGGGGTCACATATACTTCGAATAGGACTACAACTCGGGAATCTGTATGAAACATATTGGATTTATGGTCATATAGCTTGCTATACATTTTGGGTTTTGCTCATTATTGAAGGCCATCGGTTAACAGTAGTTGTATACATCCTGGGTCGTCACATTGGAAATCATACTCTATCCCCTTGTATGCTTATAATTAGTTGAAAGATTCCTATTGATCATGAGGTCAGATCAGTAAAATAATGGTTTTCAAGATGAATTTGGGGTCAATATGTTCAAGGTAAAGATCAAGCATACTAAAAAAAAAACTTGATAGGTGTAGAAAAAGGTTTCCAGATTACACCCATGACCCAAACTACATACCTTCCAACTTTTTAAAATCTCCATTGGGGATTTTAAGAGCAAGAGGACCTTATTTTTCTCTTTTATTGTCGTTAGTGTTTTTAACCTACTACTATATTGTTTTAATGAGTATGTATGTGCTTATATACCCTTTTAACTCATTCGAATGCCTGTTTTATTGTGTTCAGTTTATGAAATAAAGAATTTCAAAATTCAGGTCAACACCTCTCATAGGGATTATCCCCCATAAATCGGGATAGTTGGCAGGTCTGAAACTACATTTGGCATCAAATTTGGAGATTTTTTAAAAGATAAGTCTTTTCTTTTTTAAAGAAAAATAATGATTAATCTCAAAACTGAATTGTTACTTAGTGTCCTGTGACTTTGTCCTTGACTTCTTGTCTGCGACTTTTTCCCTGTTACTTTCTGTCCTACACTCGTGAGATCATGGCATTTATTAGTAAAATTTACTTTGAAATAGCTTTCAGTAATTGAGTACTCCTTAGACCGGTACCTTTTATGATTTCTTTGTGTTTGTATCGTGCCGATCTGACGAGTCAAGCTTTTCCAACTGACTTTTTATACGACCACAAAAAAAAAATTTGCGTCGTATAATGCTATGATGTCGTCGTCGTCGTCCGAAGACACATTTGGTTTCCAGACAATAATTTTAGTTTAAGTAAATGGATCTCTATGAATTTTTCCAGAAGGTTCAATACCACAAAAGGAAGGTTGGGATTGGTTTTGGAGGTGATGGTACCAACAATTTAGGAATTAGGGGCCAAAAACAAGCATTTTTGTAGTTTCCGGACAATAATTTGTGTGTAAGTGTATGGATCTCTCTGAAATTGTACCACAAGGTTCCATATCACAAAGGGAAGGCTGGGATTGAGTTTGGGATTAATTGCCCAAAACGTGCAGGAATTAGAGGCAAAAAAGGGGCCAAAAACAAGCATTTTTCTAGTTTCCAGACAATAACTTGTGTTTAAGTGTATGGATCTCTCTTAAATTGTACTACAAGGTTCCATACCATAAAGGGAAGGCTGAGAATGAGTTTGGGGGTAATTACTCAAAAAGGGGGGTGGGGGGTCAAAAAGTTGGGGATTTTTTCCAATTTTTTTGGGGGGGGGGGATAATTTTTTTCTTCAAAATTTTTGAAATCTTCAATTGCACAGTATTGCGCAATAACAAGAAATCTTCAATTGCACAGTATTGCGCAATAGCACAGTATTGTGCAATATCACATTATTGCGAAATAGCAAGAAATCTTCAATTGCACAGTATTGCGCATTAGCAAGAAATTTTCAACTGTACAGTATTGACCAATAACAAGAACTCTTCAATTGCACAGTATTGTGCAATATCACAGTATTGCGCAATAGCAAGAAATCTTCAATTGCATAGTATTGCGCAATAGCAAGAAATTTTCAAATGTACAGTATTTATCAATAGCAAGAAATCTTCAATTGCACAGTATTGCGCAATAGCAAAAAATCTTCAATTGCACAGTTCTGCGCAACAACACAGTATTGCGCAATAGCAATAAATCTTCAATTGCACAGTATTGGGCAATAGCACTGTGCCACAGTATTGCACAATAGCAAGAAATCTTCAATTGAAAACAAATACAAATGTTTTAACCAATTTCGATGGGATTAATTAAGTCTTTAATTTTTGGGGGTTCTAACCTTGTATAATTTTTTTGGATATTGGGCCCCATTTTT